TGTAGCTTCCTAATATCCATTAGTCTGAGGTCAGAAAAAAGTCGGTCGGACGGGAAAAGTTAGTTGTTTTTCTAGTCAGTCAATCTACATATTTGCTGCCGTGTGAAACATATAATTTTTTTCTCCAAATGTTATGAAACCAATTTTGTGTATTTTTTTACTGTAAACTTCAGTATTTTGTCCAATGTCAATTTTGATTACCGAATTCATTCAAATTGTTGAACTTCAGCTCCTAGGAACTAAATATAGGATATACTATATAGGTAATCAAGAATAAACAATATTGTTATGGTTATTGATGGTTTTATGGGTTGGTATGCATATACCTGATTTGTTCACGATTTCGCCAGATTTGGCATTTATTTATACCCATGCTGGAGATATAGATAACACCATATATATTATAGTTAAGTATTTTTGTTTTGATTAAGATTCACATAATTGCTTGATCTGTATTTCATCCGTTATTCTCGGGATGGATAACTTGTTTTCGAACGATCACGGCCTTTTTGTCTCATACAACGATATTGTTCAACTTCATTTGATTACCGAGCCAAATACGCAGTGGAATATGGAGAGAAATAAATAATCGCTATAATTATTATCAAAACAAAACTACCATAATACATGCTTCCTCAGTGATAGAGCTTTTTAAGTTGGCAACAACAACAACAAACAACTTTTGTTCCCCCATTCGTTAGGTAGGTAAATCGTTTTTTTCTCTCTCTCTCCTTTTTTGAATACTAGTGTGACAAAGCTGCTATTTATATGAATTCATCTGGCAAATACCTCAATTTAATAATATATATATTATTCATCAAGAAAACCAGATGAGCGAGGCTCTGCAATTAAATATGACTAGAAATATACATATTTCGATTCCATATTTCTGTGATAATAGGAAGGTGAAACGGGAGAAGAACTCGACAAGCTTGCTTCCCTTATTTATATGGGTACTCTGTGAGTTTGAATTAGAATTCGATGTTTGCCCATGGAACACGTGGTTCATTTATTCGTGGAAAAAATGTAGAATCTAGAAGGTTTACAAAATTGAGTCAATATTTCACACAAAAAAGTATTTTTCACCCTTACCGCATCGTAGAGCCAATAGCTGTCCCAGTTCGTACGACAAAAGTCAGAATTAAAAGAAATAAAAGAATTTCAATTTGGTAGTAATATTAAAACGGCGCAGAAACATCCAGAGGCCAATGAAAGAGAAGATATTAAAAATCCGATACTAGTGGCGACACCTTGCGGGGTTATGCGCTAGTATATCTTTTATGTTTGATCTGGTAACGAGATTACTGTAAAATCACAGCGAGTTCAAGGTACGCAAGGTACAGTTCGTTGCACGGCTCAGTGATGGCGTTACCGCGGGTAAGTGTCGAGAAGAAAACGAAGTAATAAAATTATATGAAATCGCGCCGAATATGTTTCCAAGGGTAAAAAACAAATCAAATATGAATCGATATGATACATAAATCAGAGATTATACACTCCCATAATCTCTGGGCTGGCACTGAGATATATTGTTTCAAAGGGTTATGAAAAAATCTCGAACATCTTTATTTCATTTATTGTTGATCCATTTTTTGAACATTATTAAGTATTCATTCTCAGGTTTTTATTTCAGCACCTTATGAGCGATAGAAAATAAAATGTCGCCAAACTCAGATCCGACTGTAAGACGTCGTTCATCAAGTATATACAATGAAAATCTAATTTTTATATACCTATATAGGTAGGTATAGTCGCATGAATAGGAGAATAATATATTATACCGCCCAGTTGAAATGCCATGACATTTTATCAATAGTGGAATCCGCGAACGTTTTCCGATATCATACAGATTGTCTAAAAAAAATTAACTGAATGATTTGATTTTCTTTTTAGGTACATAAGTATCAGCGATGTTCAATTCACTACGGATTGCGCCATAGGTTGAAATGGTTGAAACCGACGCATGCGCAATATGACGAGCGATGTTGCGCGCTAAACTTTCTTTCGGTCTATTCTATCTTTCAGCTGGCAACCCCTAATTAGCGGTTATATATTATTTGCATTGGCCGAGTTATTCCGCCATGCAGAGAAAATATATATAGGTATTCATTTCATATAAAAATGTTCGATGAACACCATGAACGTATGAATGTAACATAATGTTACCTGTTTACACTTAGCTGTAAAGAGAGGTTTCGGCCAAGCGTGCATTAGAAACCATCACTTTTCAAGTTCTTTGAAAGATGATGGTTGGATGTGAGCATAGAGCATAATATAAAATGTTGCAATTGAGTTGCAATCATCAACTCACTGTGAAATTGAACACGAAATCTCAAGCGCTCAACCTTCGCTTTATTCATTGGTTAATATCGGAGGCAATATATTACACTTGCCTAATATTATGACTTTTACGACGTGGCGAACCGGTTGAAGTTTTCTTTATGGGAAGATGTCCACATCATAAAATTTCACCGTCATTTTGGATCAGGCGTCATATATCAATTTTGTCAGCGTATACATATTCTTTCAGAAGAAGTGCCACATATTATCTTCTTATTTGGGATATAGTATATATAGGTCGCGTTCTACCCGTAGCACGCCCAATATGGTCCTTTTCAGGTACATAATGCAAAATTTTCGATAATATATTATTGATGATGTCGATAACTTCGATATTATCGATAATCCAAAATCACTATCGCCCACCCTTACCCAGGGGACTCATACACTATCTAATAGAGGATCAGACCCTTATGATGTCCATAAAAGATTTCAACCACCTCGACAAAAAAAAGTTTACAGGAAATTTCCTGAAGAACAACAACATTGAAACAGTGAATCACTATCTGTTCCAACAGTAAATGCCTTCACAGTATTTTTTTTCGATTAGTCACGTCGGAAAAAAAAGCAATTCTTTCCACACGGATTATTTCTTTAGAGATTTGTTGTGTAACATCCTATTGCACGATGCTTTTATTTGGGTAGTATTGAATTCGTGCAATCAAAACAGAAATAATGTCTTGATGAAATCGACGTCATCTGCAAAAACAAATCGTTTTGATATTCTAGGACTGAACGCCTTCATTCTCCCCCGGACTTCTTTGCCACTTGGAACTATAGCTGTAAGGTGGAATATCATCTAAAAACAAATGGATTTTTTCCAGACAATCAATTAAGATTATTTTGATTAAAAATGCTTACAACCCGGTAAAAATAGATTTTCCTATTCATGAATATATGTTGAAATCGGATTCTTATTCATACTTGATGAACGTAGTAATATTGCAGTCGGATCTTAGGAATATGAGCGGTTTGTTTTGATTCATGTCAGCAATAGCAAAACCAAAAACCAGATGTAAACAAATAAAACAGATTTTGTAAACCTATTTTCTATCGTGAATAGTGAATAGTATTACATTGTAATTAATATAAGTAGAAATCTAGCTGCATATCACAACTTATTTTTAGACTATCATATTTACAATAATAAATATAAATTAATAAAAACCTTACATTTTTCAATACAAAGGACTAAAAACACATAAAATTGTTTTGATAACAATGTATTGCATTGCGAAATTCGGACGACAATGCGTCGATCATAGCAGGTGATAAGCCTGGTGATTTGTTAAGGACTAGGATAGACACACTCGGGGACACAAGGTCTTTAGGTGCTCAGTTTTTAAAATGAGCAAAGAAATAAACATTGTGAAACCAAGATTGTTTACACTGTATTGAATCATCTGATCAATATTTAAAAAAACAACAACAAAGTTCCACAATAATAAAAAAATTGAAGCTTCAATTTTAATTGGGTCATATATCTCTTTCAGTTGAAGGATATGTGTATCTTCAACAAAGTTGCACAAGGAATTCGAAAAATTGAAAATAATCAAAAATTTCATCAGACATAAAAAATATAGGACACCATACAATTAAGTTATACCTAAAAAATTATTTTCATTTTTCAACTTCAACACTCTGTATATCTGAAACAATCCCCTTGAGGCCCTTGTGTCCCAGCCTGATTCTTCATCAAACAACAAGGGCTATCACCTGTTTGGCATTGTGGATCAAATTTACACCCTCTTATATAAAATGATATTCAAAACCGTCATGAATGATATAAAGATATATACAGGGTGTTTCAGATTTAAATGTACATACGATACCTGTATATAGAGGACACTTCGGTGGTTCCAAATCACCCCCCATCGATATGTCTACCGTCTTTTATAACTGAGATACAGGACGTTATCTTGATTTTGGCAAAATCTTCATCTGGTTATAACTTTTGAACCACTTTGTATAATTTATACATACTTGGTAGAAATATTCCACTTATATTACCCATCAAAACCATATAAAAATCCGGATCAGGATCCAGGTCCGTCTTGAGGAAAAACAGAAAACTTCTTTTATCTCAAAAACAACACCTTGTATGGCAAAATTTTGTAGGTCTGTTTTGATATTTGGAAAGAGCGGTAAAAAATGAGATAAGTGGCCTACTTTTTACGAGTGCGCATCTAATTTGAAAGATGGTTTATTATCATGTTTTGAAATATTCAGCTCCATTTCGAGGCATTTTTATTGAACTTATAATTCAAAATGCAATTTTAATACAAAAAAATAACAGTCTTCAAAGTTCAACATCGATAGAGTCAAATTAGGTGAACTATCGATAGATTTGTTGTGACAGAATCACTTGTCTATGGTATCATACATTTTTGAGGGCTCATTTTATTCTCCACTATTAATTCACGAGCTGCGGTGCAAAAAATCTGATATTCTGACAGGTCATAATCACTAGTGTGATATTAATGGTAATGTTGAGATAATTATTTCTGGTGCTTGTATTGGGTTGTTACATTTCAAAGTGTTCATAATTGTGCCTACAATAACTTTACCAATAATATCGCAACTATAGTGATTATGAACTGTCCGAATTTTCATTTTCATTCATTTTTTTCCGCTCTTTCCAAATATTGAAACCGATCAATAAAATTTTGCCGTACAGAGTGTTGTTTTTGAGATGAAAGAAGTTTTCTGTTTTTCCTCAAGACGGACCTGGATTTTAATCCGGATTTTCATTTGGTTTTGATGGATAATATAAGTGAAATATTTCTACCAAGTATAGATGGATTATACAAAGTGGTTCAGAAGTTATAACCAGATGAAGATTTTGCCAATATCAAGATAACGTCCTGTATCTCAGTTATCAAAGACGGTAGACATATCGATGAGGGGTGATTTGGAACCACCGAAGTGTCCTCTATCTACAGGTATCCTATGTACATATAAGTCTGAAACACACTGTATAATTAAAATTTTGTTGAGCAACTCCTCATTAGCTGCATTGAAAATGTAGATAAAGATATTTTGTTGTTTTGTATATTGAGAAATGAAGTATCACTTTAACCTCCAGTTTACCATTATAAGGGGTAAAAATGTTGTATGATTATCTATTGCACAGCCCAACATTTAAAGATCAAATGGATAAATACCAATATCATGAATTGTGGTGATGATATTGGTCTGGATGTTCAGCAATATAAAACACATATATAAGAGGAATTGCAAAAATTACTATCACTATACACAGGATTAGTGCAATCCAGGATATGTCTGCATCTGCTCCATTGCAACTCAATCTTGAAGCAGTCTGAAAATATTCATAAAATAACTATAATTATTACATGTAGGTTAATTGAGGAAGTGGGACATTTTTGTGATTTTCTCTCCTTGTCTCAATCATAGTCAGTGACACCTCCTTTGAAAAATGCTTGAAGAAGAAATATGGTGTATTGAAAAAGTATAAAAGGTCACTTATCTTTGAACATTGTGGAAATGAATTTGCTCCCTGACAATCCAGAAAGTTGATTTTTCACTAGAGATACTGTTATTTCTCTTGTTGTTACTTACCAAATCAGCTTTTTGTAAAGGAACATCAACTTGTGGCAACAAGCTCACTTCTTGTTCTTCACAGTTTCCAGTACATTCTTGCTCTGTATTGACATTATTGCTCTTCTGGGATATTTGACTATTAAAAATAATATCATTCACTTCCAAGTTTCTACTTTCATTTCTGGGTAAACTATCACTGAGTTTTGTGTTGAGAGATTCAATATCAATGAGCTGACTAGTTGAAGGTTCACCAACAGATTCAGGTGAATGGTCACCACTGATATGAACATCTGCTAATGCTAGAGTGAAAGGCCTATAGGGTACTTTTATTGTCCTTCTTGCGAAAATTTCATTTTCATTGTGTATGTTATTTAGTCTTTTCAGATCTGCTATCTGGAACATAATACAAAATGATGATGATGATGAGTCAATCAAGATTTTGATAGGTCATAGGTAAGGTGATAAGTCCAAAAAGCCAAATTTTACAGGATATATATGAAAAAACCAAAAATGTGCAATTAAACAAAATCAACCATGGCCATTCTACATATTTATAGTTTTTTTTATAATTGCCAGGAAACATGCATATTTGTTTTGACGTTTTGGTCCATTCAAAATTCATAAAAAGCACCATGAAAAATTACTGTTACATATTTTGAAGCAAACAAAAGGCAATATATATATATATATATAAGATAGATATTGACTTTTTTTATTGTTGATGGTCATAAGTTCTAGGAAATTAACTTCACTGATGCTCAACTCCTCATGCAATATTTTTTCATGATATTTTTCCTATGTCTATGAGTTAGTTTTTTGTAGTAGGACTTCAACAGATTAAAAAAGATATGATTTTGAGATGGAAAGCTCATGTAAACATATAATACGCAGATATCCCATATACAGGGAATGTGATATTTTCATAAATTTTTTGTTTTTCAGGTTTTTCCATTGAGTTCACATTTTAGGAAGCTTTTGATCATTACAGGTCATCTAGTCATTTATTGAGAAATGTCCAATAGAGTGTGTTTGAGAAATGTAGTTTCATCACAAGTGAATTATAATAATTATATTTCACATTTACCTTGAAATCAATATGGTTTGACTCCCAATATTTTGGAAATGAAACTCCCATGCATATAATGTTCACATGAACTTTACATCTTGAAAATATGTGTTCTCCAAGATGTTGAAGTCCTGCTACAAAAAACTAACTCACCATGTATATCAAGCATTCAAGTTCTGGAGTGAATTTTTACACCAAGAATTTGTTATTCAAAATTGTTTATATAGTGACCTGGTACTATGATACCTACTTTAAAAAACTAATACTTAATAGTAAAAATATCACACTTGCCTGATGTACTATTTCACTTCTAAAGGCAAAGAATTTCAAATTCAAGCTGTTCTACAAACCAAAGTTTTGGTTGAGGTTCATTTGCTATGTAACTTGTTGACAAAAAAGGGAAATGACTGAACTTGAAGTTTGTCTGACTGGTATTGCTAGTCATGGGATGATGGTAGTGCTTTCTCAAGAACATTTTCCTGATGATATCAAAGCAATTAATGAATGTGGCTTCACCAACTAGTATAATGACTTATATCTGGATGGAATCTAGGATGGTTCTTATCCAAAAGTCAATGGTATTCATTACCTACAAATTTTGGAATGGAAGAGAAAAAGCAAAGGTCGTTTTTGTTCAGAATTTCATTCTTTTCATTTGATTGAAACAGACAGCATGGATAATTGACCATTCCTAACATAACCTGACCTGTGACCTTTATAATATAGCTGATGACATTCTACTAATTATTATAGTCAGCTTCTAGTTTATCACAAAGTTTACTTACAGAACAATTATATGTAATTGCTAATGACTGCAAGGTATCATTCACTTCAACAGCCCTATCAACAGTTGGTTCTTTCTTTGGTGATTGTTTCCTGACAAATAATTCTGTTTCTTCTCCATCATCGCTATCACTGTCTTTGCCTTTTTCCAGTCTCTTGTACCTAAAGTAGTATTATAACGATTTTCATGGACGAAATGGAATAATTAATATGTAGTTCAAGAATAAACTCAATAGGAATATGAAAGAAAAAACACTTACTTTTACCTTTGTTTGTTCATTGTTAGAATATGGAATTAAATATACAATGGGAATATAAAAAATACTTACTTTTGCCTTTGTTTGATCATTGTTAGAAAATTGAATAATAATAATGATAATTTTTTTTGTGAAGTAAACAAGTAAATGACAATAACACTCTAATGACCTTGACTAATAACAGGCCGTGTCTAGAACCCCGCTAAAGTGGATCTTCCTTCTACCCTAGGTGGCGCTCGTGTCCAGACAACATTCTCATTGAAATGTTTGCTTCAAGAACAAAAGTTGATTCTGTGTGATTATAAGTGATAATAATACAGATTGTACCATAATTGGCGTAGAATACATAGTCTCTAGATTCCACGAACGAAAAATAGAGAAAAAAAAGTTTCCCTTGAGAACCAACTTACACTTACCGGCATAAGAACCCGGAAAAAAATAAAAATAAGTCGATCGCCCTGTAACTTTTATAATTCTTTCCGATTTTGGTGAAATTTTTGATTCAAGCTTCGAAATGTTATCCTGAATTTCAGTTTCTAATATAAGCTGATGGCTTGATCATTATACAGGAAAAAATTACTCTTTCATCCTTACTATTTCAGGCGCTGTGGCAAAAGTAAGTAGTTATAGCTTCATTATGTTTTAGATTGGAGTATTATAGTTCTTGATCCGAAAAATAATATAACACCGTGTTAGTTCATAATGCTCCTGTTACATTCAATTCAATTTTGAAATTTACTTTACCAATTTATTCGAATGAAAAATGGTAACTCAAGCATGTTGAAATGGAACCGGCAAGGAACATATGTGTGATGTATCAACTGTAATTTCAAAATATTCACCTAGGTAAGTATCCCTCAGATGTGATTTTCAATAATAACTCAGAGTTATATAAGTTAATACGAAAAAAACTGTATTTCATCAGGAATTAGAAAGTTGATCAAAAGTCCGCATTTAAGTTGAGATTATCGTTTCAAATGACCCTTTATATCTGTAGTATATTCAATCCCACCACCCCATGTAATTCAGATATCATCAATATTATTATTAGTCATAGATGAATACTTGTTTCGGGAATTGATAGGATCGAAAGGTGACGCCACTAATTACTCATTCGGGGCGAGGTGGTGTATCGTGTCAGTCTTATGTTAGATATCATCGCGTACGGTCTACTCAAAAGTGCTCGTATCAGTATTAAGCAAGAATCTAGTCACTAGTGCATATCGTGAAATAGAGTATACATGTTTTTTCCCAATTAGCTTTGATTAGACGTTTCTGGCAAACCAAGCAACAGGTGAATCTGAAAAATTTGATGGTATTTATAAATTTTCATGATCTGTCTAAATATTTCAAACGTAGCGGCGTTGTCACTTCTACTAGAAAGTATAGTAGCAACTATGACTATTCAAATGGAACACCCTGTATTTCATTGCATTCTTAGATTTTTCGTGAAGAGCTGATTTCATCAATACATCACACTTGGGGTCTAGCGGGAATGCTTACAGAGAAATAGGGTGTTTAAAATCGAGATTTTTCTACTTTAGGATTTGTTTTGTCGAAACTCATTATTGGTCAAAACGGTTTCCATGTCCCTATCTCAACTTTGAATTTACTATCTACCGACATTTAATTGGAACAAATACAGGGTCGAGTCATATTTCGGATCACCCTGTATATGTTCCAATTAAATGTAAGTAAATAGTGAATCAACAGTTGAGATAGGAACATGTAAGCCGTTTCGACAAATAATGAATAGTTTCGACAAATAATAATGAATAGTTTCGACACAAAAAAATCCTTAAGTTGAAATATATCGATTTTGAGCACCCTATATCTCTGTCATCTTCTGTGCTAGACCCCAAGTGTGATACATTCACGAAATGAGATCTTCAGGAAGAATCTAAAAATGCAATGAAAAACAGGGTGCTCCATTTGAGAAAAATCAAACTTGCTGCTACTTTCTAGTAGAAGCGGTAACGCCGCGTCGTTTCAAATATTTCAGACGTGTGAATCATGTCAAGTTATACTAACCATCAAATTTTCAGATTCATCAGTTGCTTGGTTTGCCAGAACCATCTGATTAACGCTCATCGTGAATCACCCTGTATTGTTTAACGAACACGGAATGATAATCATTTCGATTAGAAATTAGCATTCCGTGCGAGTTATAATTATACTAAACTCCTTTCACGTCTGTCACAGATGACAGCGAAATTTTTTATTTCTTTGGCTTGTAGCCATCTGATTTTCTCTTGTAATGCTCCTCTATTAGACAGATCTGTCATTGCTCGAAATTTCTTTTCATGGGAGATGAAATTTTGTGAAATGACAAAGAAGTTATTGTGATATCAGATACGGAAATGAAATTGATGACATACAAAGTACTTCATTTCAAACAAGGGCAATTAAGCAATGTTGTGGTATAGCCGTAGAAAAAGAACTGTTTTAATTCTACAACTGTGTGAAAGAGTGATAATAGTCTACTACATCGTTCGGTATAGTGATTACTGATTACATCGCATTATTCTGTGTTGTGTCGATGTTTAGTGAAGTGTTTTGAGATTTCATATGTCATTGTGAACTACATGCCGATTTCATACTGGTGAGTTTTTAATCTTTTCTAACACGTGATATGCACTTTGCGAGAAAATGAATCTATTTCTATACCAACTCCAAGAAACAAAAAAATTAGGGTTTTTCAATGGTTTTTCAACAGTCGTCATCTAGCCGGCAACACTGTTTGTGAACAGAATATCCATCCACGTAGGCGTGATTCTAGACACAAGCATGTAATGTCAAATTGTCAAATCAATTTTTAGGTTACATGACATGTGCTATTGTTTACTATTTTTTGCATTTTTCTTGATTTTTTATTTTTGCTCACCGTCCCATTGTCATAGTCACAGTTTTTTCACCCATCGTTTATTTACTTGAATTTTTGGGCAAGTTGTTTTTGTTTATGGTTTTCATAAAAAAATTATTATTGAAATATGAGTACCAATGATTACTTTCAGAGTTATGAAGACCTGGAGGTAAGGACATATTGCTCCAGATACTTATTTTAACTTTGGTATGAGGAACGAGTTGATGTAGCATTGTTATTACAATACTCTGGAAATTGAAGTCAATAATCAATGACAATTGCATTTTAATTGAATTTTCCATTCCTTAAAAGAAGTCTAGTAACTGTTCATGCAAATGATATGTTGCATATTCTATGCAGATATACTTTAATCTGAGATGTTTATAATTTAATCTGTGGATATACCTGAGGATATAGTGATTGATTATTGACATGCCCACGGAAGAAGCGAGGGAACGCGAGGGAAGAAGTGTGTGATATCAAATTATTTTTGTATCTATTATTAGAGGTATCCCTATGTAACACTCTGTGTATTTTGGGATGAAATAAACGGTAAAGATATACCCCAAAAGGCCATTGACTGAAGTCTTTCAGCCCTCTACTTATAAAAAAACAATATATTAATGATATTGAAATTATTTTAGATACACAAATTGATGTTGGCAGACTCAGAAAGAAACAGGGCATATAAAGATGCAATCATAAGCAATAAAGCTGAATTCAGTGGCAAAGCAGTATTAGATGTGGGTGCTGGAACTGGAATTCTATCAATTTTTTGTGCTCAGGCTGGTGCTAAAATAGTTTATGCAGTTGAAGCTAGTGAAGTCTACAAAATAGCAGAAGAATCAGTGAAAGAGAATAACATTCAAGATGTTGTTAAGGTAAGTTCAATCAATGGATCAATCAATCATTCATTGGTATACATGGAAGGAGGATGATTTCTCTATTAAAAAAATATTTTTACCAGAGATCAAAACAAAGTCATCTCCACAATATTAATAGTAATCCAATAACTCAATCAGATTATCATCTTACCTGTTTTGAGCCTAAATAGGCTCTTCTTCAGTGAACAGTGACTTTGTGATTTGATCCCTTGCAACTATAACATCTTCAATTTGAGATACCATGGACTTCTACCATGGATTAAGAATATTAAAACATATTTGTTTGAAATGTCTCAGAAACCATCAAAAACACCACAAACATTTTCCAGTTAAACTACACCTTTTTCAAAATACTGTGGTGACTATTCTGAAATGAAGGGTTTTCCAATGAGTCTATCAGAACTTTAAAATGTAATAGGGGCAACAGTGTAAGCTATGTGCAGATAAAACTTGACAACTATATTTGTCAACAGACATTGAGACTCGCATTGAGAGCATTGCCAGAAATTTATGGTCAACATGTGTCAATGTAAATATGCTATTATGCACCTTCTGTTACAGATTCATTATATCATGTACCTATATAAAGTATTATTTTTTTGTTGCAATGAACATTATGATTATTATCATTAATCTATTTCAAAATTCTGACAGGCTTATTGGAAAATCATTTATAATAAATTGATGCTCTCTGAAATATAAGTGACTATTCTAAAATACAATTGAAGCTTTCTGAAATACAACTGGAAAAGGTGTTGTTACAATGCAAGACAAACAAGTGAATTATAAGGAACATTCCATATCAGTCATTTTCAACTAATCAGAGGCTTTATTTCCACCAGGAATTTTTTTTTGAAATTTGTTATACACATGAGCATGTAGACTTAAAATCAATAAGTGAAAATTTCCTGGCACATAACAGCTATCATATAATAATTAGACAAAGTTGAAATAATTTTGACCATATTTTTCATTTTCCAGAAACCTAGTAAGAAAATCATATGAAAACAAATATTTTTGTATCATAATATATCTGGTTATCTATAAATATTATTCTACTATTCTAATGTTTCCTTTTTGAATATAATTCCAGTATGAAATTTTCTTACCTAATCCCCCACGTGCATGAATTTATTGCTGGAGAAATTTCCTCCTACATGAATTTTTTAAGACATCTATCCCTTGTTGCTTGGGCGATTATAAGTTACAATAAATTTCACTTCAAAATCTCATCAAAATTAAATGCTGTAAAAATCTTCAGATTCACGATGAATGTTGTACCCGAGTTTGTACCCTTCAATTGTTCAAGATTGTCAGGTGAAACATAAAAAAAACGTCATACAGAAAGGCATCTAGAGTCATCTCAACACTTTTCTTCTAATCAACAGTATTTAGGTTTTAAGTCTTGTATCATGGTCTTGATTATTCTGGCCAGTCCCATATATTTAGATGTAGGTTTTTTCAACATAGCTTAGACATTGAAGAATGAAAACACATGTGAATGTCAAAATATCTAGATCCCTAAATGCTTGCCTATAGCCATCACAATAGGGCAAACCTGCAACAACTCTAACTGCTCATCATTGAATTTGAAAAACCTCAACATCACTTGCGGCGTGTCCTCAGAACAGTATTGCATAAGGAATGTTGCTGTGACAGAGAGAAAATTGCACTATCTGACACCATTCTTTCCACACAGTGAGAATGATTTTTTTGGACTAAACTATTTTTGTTCAGTTCATTGCATACTTTTTCTATATTTGGCCTCCAGTTTGATTGGAAATTCAAGAGAACTGCCAGAAACCCCACAGTTGGTGGATTCTCACCCATGAAGTAAATTAGTCCTAAGTGTTTTATTGTTCTTTAAGAACAAGAGGTTTGCCGAGAACCAATTTTCTGCATTTGGCTGTGCCTCTCTTGAAACCTCTACTACTTCATTATAGCTAATAGTGGTGTCATCTACATAAGGGTGAACCTTGCAGAGGAATCTATCAGATACCTTTTAGTTGATGAAAATATTCTTCAATTGAAACATAAAAAAATTCTCATTCAAAATAGGTTGTTACATATTATATTATATTTGATTTTTTTGTATTGACTCAGCCATCACTTGATGGAGATGTGAATGTGAAAAACTTCACAAACCATCAGATTTCCACATCCAAATAGGTCGATTTATAGGTATGCCAGTACGTATGTATTTTGCTTTACACACCCAAAATGGTACTCAATACAAGGTAATATTGATGGTTTCAATTGAAATGCATGAATAAGGCCTAATCAATCCACCATAAATACTTGATTTTCAAAATGAGATTGTCACATAGCATATAATTGGTCATATGTTTTAAACTTTCACCTTGATCACAAAAATGCATAACAACTGATCGAGGGGACATTTTGATGTGATGGTGTCACAGAGATGGTAGATATTAAACATTGATTTTTTAAAAATTATTGTCATATTTCATCACTCCGGAATATTTTTCACACTGTATGAAAAAATTATTTGAGAAAAAGCTCTTAGTAATTTCTACCATAAGAGGTTCTATTGAATAATTCTGAAAAGTTGTTTGAGAGTCACCTCAGTTTATGCAAGAATGTTTACATACATTATAATTATCACCAAAAAAATACTGGAAAATTGAATTGCATTTTCAAGGTAATTCATTCCAAAGTTGAAGATGTAAATCTTCCGGAAAAAGTTGATATCATAGTATCAGAATGGATGGGCTTCTATTTATTGCATGAAGCAATGTTGGATTCTGTTATAGTAGCCAGAGATAGATTTTTGAAACCAGATGGTCTGATGTTTCCTGAAACTGCTACATTATATTCGACACCATGTAGGTAAGAATAATCAATTGAAAATAATTATTCTAGATGCATTTGTCAGTGCATTTTGCAACTTTTTTATTTAATATTTAGTGTACCATCAATGTACGACTTTTGGGAAAATGTAAATGGTGTATCCATGACACATTTAGGAATGAAGCTAAGGGAGCAAGCATCTCAGAAGCCTGTGACAGAAATTGTGAAACCTGAGTCGATATTGGCTGATCCAGAAGTTGTAATTTGGATGGATTTGAGAGAAGTTACTCTGGAAGATCTAGATTCTATAGAAATGAGACATGTCGCTATTGCCAATAAAAAAGGAAAATATCAAGGTAAGTTCTCAATTGTCTACTTATTTTGTACAAAAGTTGACAAGTTGACATCTTTGAAATTTGAAATCTTATGAGCTTGGAATCTCATCCAAACTCAGGTAGGTGTTTGGTATCGAATGGAAAATGTATACAGGGTGGCCATCGAGGTGGCGATTTGAAAACAAAACAGCCAATTTTGGGCACTCCACGTCATTTACGAAAAAACGTTGGGACCCCTTAGTTTTTTTTGCTAGTTTCACCCCCTGACCCAAAAGTCCTTTAGCGGGGGTGAGACTCACCACTAAAATCTTAAATGGTAAGAGGAGTCAAATGATATCTTAGTTTGAAGGTTTATCAAAAGTCTCAAAATTTTGTCGGACAGTCCTGAAGGTTAAGCGGCCTATATGTTCGAGAATTTTCTGGAAAAATAATGTGACCTATGTAAACAATTAGAAGTTATGGTTGGACTTGATCAGTTTTGTGTTTTTAATTCTCAATGTAAAAATTGTAAATGTTGAGCCGATTTTTGTACTGTACTGGTGAGCCACTGTGTAGATAGTACCAATGTAAAACTCGGGGGTTATAATCTAGGTAAAATTAGAGACACTGGATGGTATTAGTTAGGTTAGAGTTACACAGCTGATCTTCTGTCCTATTCTATTTTCTATTTTACTGTGGTTTGAGTGAATAAAAGAATAAGACATATAATCTGCTCTTTGTCTTTTCAATTTCCCTTATAGCGTCTGATTGTCAGAAACGATTTTAGAGGTTAGGTTAGGTTAGGTTAGGTTAGCTCCTGTCAAATCGATTATAGACGTAGATGGAAAATAGAAATAGGGTATAAACACCCACTTCGATGTATATCCATACGGCACTTCGTTTCAATGATATACATGACGTTGCAATTTACTTGATTTCCTCAGTTTCGTTCTGAAATTTTTAAATTCATGATGTACTTTGCAATCAATTCATCTTTCTCCATGTTAATTTTGTTTTGCATTTTGTATGATGATAATAATGGATTGTTCCAGAAAATGGGCCTAAAATATAGTTTCATTTTAATCTGCTGTTATAAAAAGTGAATTTTAATGTATGTACATACCTCACAAATTTTGCTTGTCTTCAAATATTGATTTCAATTCTGACGTTCATAGTATTTATTGTCAAATTCAAACAATTTTGAATGAAAAAGTGCGGGACGACTATGGTGCTCTTGTCACTTGTCATAATGCAAGGTGTGTAACTTAATGATTCTAAACATTCAAAAACACTAAAAGTTGTCATTTCTGTGTCCGAACTCTTATCTAAGTAATTCCATCCAGTGACTAGGTGAAATCACCTCCAAAATGAGATGTCATTCAACACCTCTATCCATTTAAGATTTAAGAGGCGAGTCTCACCCCCGCTCAGTGGCGTAACTAGAATTTTTTGGCCCCAACGCAAAATACATAAGGAGCTCCCCCCCTTTCAGTTTCAAATCACGAACTTGACCAAAAATTTCTTGGCATCAAAGAAAAGCAAATCTTGAAAATAATTTTAGATCTCTTGAGTTCAAAATGGAACTCAACGTTTTTTATCTAAGAAAAAAAACATGATAACTTTGAATTTATACTTAACTTATTAAACGCTAAAACAATTTTTTTCTTGCTTCATACACATTTGCAAATTCATTAATTAGATTAGTTAAGGTATCCTATGTGAACGAATGCACGTCACAAGCGACGAACACGCGGTGACTAGCGAAGGGATGCAATATTTAAGTGCTCGATACTGATGAAATTCTACGCGCACGTGTCTCTGTAGATATATATTAGTTTCACTTCTTTGACATCGATATTTCTTCAGGAATTTGTATTTTGTGTGTATTTCAGAATAGTCACTTGTATTTCAGGAAGCGCCAATTGTATTTCAGAATAATCAATTGAATTACAGAAAGTATCGATTGTATTTCAGAATATCCAATTGAATTTCAGAAAGCGTCCATTATATCTCCAATGATATTTTCTGAAATACCATTGATGCTTTTTGAAATTGAATTCACTATTTCGAAATACAATTGAAGCTTTCTGAAATACAAACGACTAAAGTCACTGGAACTTGAGTGAATTAAAGAATAAGAAATATATTCTGCTCTTTATCTTTTCAATTTCCCTAGTAGCACCTGATTGTCAGATACGCTTTTAGAGGTTAGATTTTCTGTCAAATCAATCATTGTCGTAGATGGAAAATAGAAATAGGGTATAAACACCCACTTCAATTTATATAGCGATACACTTCTCGCAGAACAATAGAATTCATGCAACAACATTTTATTATGACAAAATAGACACATATGTATTTGGATATACTTATAACTAGTTCCTTATTGTATGTAAAACGGTACCCGAGTGATAAAAAGGTATAACATGAAGATTGTTTTGATTTTCCACCTTTTGCTGCATTCCTTTTTTGCTGATAAAGTTTGAATTTGGTCAGTATTGAAAACGCCATTCAATGATATTCTATCACGTTGCAATTCACTTGATTTCCTCAGTTTCGTTCTCGAATTTTCAATATCATTACGTAGATTTGCAATCAATTCCTCTTTCTCTATGATAATTTTGTTTTGCATTTCGTCACATGATAATATTGGATTTTTTTCAATAGTCTGTTTTGTAAATCAATGGAACAACGGATCTTATAAATCTTTTGTTTGAAAATGGGCCAAATATATAGTTTCATTCCAATCTGCTATTATAAGTGAATTTTAATATATTCATTTACCTCACAAATTGCGCTTGTCTTCAAATTAATTTTCCATCCAGGCCGTTTCATACATTTCATGGTTGATATTTCCTTTGGAAAATTAAAGAAATGAAATCGCCATTTCCTTCAGAATTTTTGCAATTCATTACACAGCAGGACATTTTCATTCATGCTCTTTTCTCAATAGCTCATGAAATTATATTTCAATTCTGACGTTCATAAACTTTGTTGTCAAATTAAACAATTTTGGATGAAAAAGCGCGGAAAGACTGATGCTGTTGTCACAAAGCAAGTTGTGTAAACACTAACAGTTGTCATTTCTCTGTCCGAACTCTTATCTAAGTAATAATCTACAAATGACTTTTCTGAAATGCAATTATTGGCGCTTTCTGAAATAACAACTGGAAAAGGTGTAGAAGTGAAAAAACCTCATTATTTTCAGGTATTTGTCTTTGGTTTACTTGCACTTTCCCAAGTAAATTCACAGAGCCGGTATCTCTATCAACTGAACCTGATGAGCCTCCCACTCATTGGAAACAAACGACAATCGTACTACCTTCTAGCATTGGAGTTGAAGAAGGGACACCCATGGCCTACGACCTAGCTCTCAAAAAGTCGCAGGATAACAGCAGGAGATATACCATCGAAGTGACCATGTTGGATCCTTCAGAAGTTGAACATTCGGAATATTGCCTCTGTCATATGACCAAGTGTATTTTGGTCAGGGCTATGTTGGAGAAGTACGAAAAAGATGATGTAGAAATGATGGGTGATAAATAAAGTACAATAAAAGGCAAGATTCTTAATTTTCTTTAATTACATTCTTTACGAAAAATATTGTTGTACTTGAAAAATTCGAGTAATTTCAGAACATCTATTACAATGTTTTCTATTCTTATTATCTAAGTTTCCAGAATTTAACTGCCATATTTCATTCTGATGGTCATGGGGAATGTTTTGAAACATATAATTGAAGATGGCTGTATTTCCTTATTCCTCAGTACATTTATTAGGGAGTACTATGTCTTTCAGGCAGCATACTTTTGAGTTTCACAATCATTGCAGAACTTTGAAAACATAATATATCCTGGTAGCGCCTACATTTTGATACTCAATTGACTTCTTCTTGGTCCGTGTGGTGGTCGGATTAGAATAACCCCACGGTAAGTCCTGCCTGTCGTAGAAGGCGACTAAAAGGACGCCAATAGGTGGAAGATGGCTAACGCCATCGCCCGGTGCGATACCACCACATCAACCATAGGCACTGTGAAATGGGTATACTTACCCGTGTTTCAGTAGCTGGTTGATGTTCCGGCCAACCCAACCTAACCCAATTTCCTTTTCCTTCCACGCCAACCTCCCTTTTTTATACAGAATACGCGATGATGAGTTCTCCTCAAGTAAAATTATCCGGAAGTAAAATACCTCTCCATTCGGATTTCCGGGCGAGAGGTGCTAGAGGGGGTTCACCATCGGCTGAAAAAGTCCTCAAGATAGACCTATGTAACATCCGAGGTCTGAGTAAGAACATCAACGATGTCCATCGACACCTTCAAATTGAAAAGCCAGACATATTGGCTCTTACTGAAACACAGGTCAATTCATCCACCAGTACGACCTATCTGCTCTGTCCTGGGTACGAACTCCACACACGTTTTAGATTCAAGGGAGGTCTCTGCCTCTACTCTAAAACGAATCTCTCATGTCAACGAGAAAAAACTTTGGAACCAAACAAGTTTGATGTCATGTGGTTCAAACTCGATAGCCAGAAACAGACCAAATTCCTTTGTTGTCTCTACTTATCACCAAATGATCCATCCTATGAAGAGCTCTTCGAATTCTTGTCTCTGAAGCTTGACCAAATCCAACAGAACCATCCAGCAGCAGAAATCATCATCATGGGCGATTTCAATGTACACAACACTGCTTGGCTCGTACACTCTAACAGAACGGATGAAGCTGGGCGACAAGCCGAAGCTTTCGCCATCACTCACGGCTTAGAGCAGCTTATCAAAGAACCCACACGAATTCCCGATGTCAATAACCATTCAGCTAACATACTTGACTTATTCCTTACTAATAATTCAGCCCCCTACACCATAGATGTACGAGCTCCACTTGGCAATTCTGACCACACACTCATCTCCACAACCTGCCCATTTTTCATTCCATCAACTGCTCCGGCACCCCCACGTCTTATATGGCATTACAATTCAGGAGATTGGGACGGTCTCCGCATGTTTTTCTCCGAGTTTCCTTGGCATAGAGTATGCTTTGACTCTGAGGACCCTTCACAATGTGCTGCGGAAATATCCGAGATCATCATGCTCGGAATGGACACATACATACCTCATTTTTCGAAAAGATCATCACCTTCGAAACCCTGGTTCAACAAAAACTGTTCTAGAACTGTTGCCTTGAAACAAACAGCCTACCATCGCTGGCGCAAAAACCCTAACCTCGCGACTAGAGCAGAATACGTTGATGCCAGGAATAACTGCAGCCAAACAATAGATGCTTCGAAAGAAACATACAATGCCAAGATAAGATCGAAACTCATAGATTGCCCCAATGGCTCCCGTTCGTTTTGGTCCCTTGCTAAAGCGGTCGGAAGAAATTTCACTAATAGTTCATTTCCACCACTGTCCAAATCCGACGGCACATTAGCAACAACATCGCAGGAGAAAGCAAATATTTTTGCAGAGATGTTCGCAGCAAACTCTACTTTAGATTCCCAAGGAAAACTGCCGCCAGACATTCCACCCGTTGAGAGTCGAATGCCCGAAATCGTCTTCCGTCAACGCACTATCAGACGAATTTTGCTTGGTCTCAAAACAAATAAGGCTAACGGTCCTGATGGAATTCCACCCATTATCCTCAAAAAATGTGCACCAGAATTAACACCGATTCTCTGCAAGTTGTTTACCATCTCGTACAGGTCGGGTATTTTTCCATCATGCTGGAAGACAGCTAGAGTCCAACCAATCCCCAAAAAAGGGAACAAGAACCTGCCCAACAACTACAGGCCCATTGCCCTGTTATCAGTAATCTCCAAAGTGATGGAGAAAGCCATCAATATTGAGCTTATCAAATATCTGGAGAGCTCAGGAATCATCAATGATAGACAATACGGCTTTCGCCACCGAAGATCTACTGGAGATCTACTTGCCTACGTCACCCATTTATGGCAATCTTCAATAGAAAAACACAGGGAATCTCTAGCTGTCGCGTTGGACATTTCGAAAGCATTCGACCGTGTTTGGCACGAAGGACTCCTCCACAAACTACCATCATACGGCTTACCACCCCAGCTATGCCATCTCTTATCGAGTTTTCTTTCAGGCAGATCGCTTCACGTGGTGGTGGACGGTGTATCGTCTGATACCTTTGGCATCAATTCCGGCGTTCCACAAGGATCAATTTTGGCACCAACATTATTCCTGCTTCATATCAATGATCTGTTGGGAGTAACAACTTGCCCCATCCACAGCTTTGCAGATGATAGTACCCTCCATACTGCGTTCTCTTCTAGAATTCCCATTTCTTCCCAGGAAACTAAGAACTCACGACGCGGGCAGGTCAATGCTGTCAATGAAGATCTTGCTGAAATCACAGCCTGGGGGACAAACAACCTAGTTGAATTCAACGCCACCAAAACTCAAGCCTGCATTTTCTCTAGAAAGGCGGAACTCAGTATGCCCGATATTGTAATGTCTGGCTCCACCATCCCCACCAAGCCCACCATATCTATGCTCGGTATTTCCATCAGCAACACTCTTTCATGGGATAATCATGTCAGATCCATCGCAAAAGCTGCTTCACAAAAACTCGGATTCTTGTTCCGTGCGAAAAGCTACTTTACACCTCAACAGCTTCTCATGATCTACAAAGCGCAGATACGGCCTGTTCTAGAATACTGTTCCCACATATGGGGTTCAGCACCAAAACATACACTGATGCTCTTAGATTCCATCCAGAGAAGAGCCATTCGCCTGGTGGGTGACGCCACACTCACTCACTCTTTAACATCATTGGAACATCGTAGAAAGGTCGGCGACCTTTCACTTTTCTATAGATACTTCCACGGGAAATGTTCTTCGGAAATCTCTGCTATCATCCCTTCACTAGCAATACCAATCAGACGAACTAGACAAGCCCAGTCAGCACATCCTTTCGTTGTCAACCTCGAAAGATGTCGAACAGCACTTTATCAAGACTCCTTCATCCATAGAACGGCTAGGCTCTGGAATTCATTGCCTGTGGAAGTATTCCCAACAACATATAATCTCCAAAAGTTCAAAAAAAATTCCAATACCTACCTCCTGTCCCTATCCTCCTAAGGAACGCACGAGATTCCTCAGAAGAGATGTTAACTTCGATCTACAACGAATGTTTGATACTTTTTTATTGGAAACCAGGCGCAGAGATGAATTTCTTGAAAGAGTTGTTGAACGACTTACCCCATCCCAATTGAGTAATGTTCCTGCTAATGCCAATGCCAGTCCACCAATTGTGTCAAATAATGTTGCAATAATCCCAGAAGTACTAAGGAATATCGGAAATTTTAATGGAGACTGTTCCGCAGCTAAACAATGGTTGCAAAAATTAGATAGTGTGAACATTATAGGGATTCCCTTTCGTGCGCTCCAAGCGATAAAAAAAAAAAAAAAAATTAGACAATAAACATTGAGTAATTATATTCAGTATACCAAGTGGAGACTACCCACCGTTAGTGTAACAACTATTAAGAATAAAATATTTTTCGGAAAAAATAGCCGAAACTTGTCAATTTTCATTTAGAAGAAAACATAGTAGCAGTGCAAATTTTTTCACTAGCGTTCTTGAGATGATTGAGTTCAAATAATATATTTTTTATTTATGAGTAAATGAATGTATAAAATATATTATCAAAAGTTAAGTTAGTGACTGAGCTGGCAGTGTTAGTGGTTCACTCATTTAGATTCATATCAACATCTACATCAAAAGTGCTGGTTCAATTCGATTTTATCAGAATATTCTAACAAGATGGGGCATTTTGTATTACATATCACATTTTACCAACAATTTTCAAACAAATAAATTGGTTGTAGGACCAATTGAATGGCCAGATTGCTCGCAGGATTTGGTACCCATTGATTTGTCTTTGCAAATGCCACACAATTATCAGAGAAATCTCTTCAGAGGTGCTGGAGAATTATGCAAATTGACTCTACCATTGTCTGGAAGTCATTATATAAAAGTCATTTTGAACATTATTGGTTATTGATTCACACATTCCACTTATACATAAATGAAAAATGTCTATGATAATGGTTATATCTTCAATTAATTTTGACGGGATATATGGAATATGAGTTATCTATTAAACAACGCATCTGAGTGCCATGACAGAAACAATAACTTTAATGTAAGAAATTCCCATTTACCAAAGTGGAAAAAAATACAATGCAGTATGCAGAACAATTGCAGTATTCACCTCAGCTACCTTATTATTAGTAATCTTAAGCTATTTAGGAAACCATTTGATTATGAACAGTAATTCTTGTTCATGAAATTGTGTTTTCGAGCAACACCACGAGTCCGTTAGAACGAGTGGTATTGCTGTACGGAAACCAGTTGAGTCAACAATGAGTGACATAATTATGAGAAGATATTCAGAACACAGTGGTATTATGCTAGACTATTTCACGAAGCATAAGAAGCATCTCTTATAAATGAACAAGCCATATAACCAGAGCGATTCATTCTGACATCTACAGCTATAATTATAAAATGTCAAATCGACATCCTTTGCTTCGCTATGCATGGTTACATCGTTGAAAACATCAACGCTGATAGACCAATCAGAGACTTGTCATTGCACAGAATATGTGAAAATTTCAAGATGGGAGGAATAGTCATATTCATTGAAAATTTACATGAAGGACTATAATAATCTTCAGCAAGGAATTGGGAGCAGGCTGAATGGATATTTGGTTTTGTGAAATCAGGATTGAAAATAATATAGCCAGAAAAAATTGTGCCAGCGCATCTATAAGAATAAGAACTATAAATAGAAGATCAGATTTTTATTAACTTATGTACACCTATATAATATGTGTAATCACATATAATACCATCACATTTTTTTATTTAGTCAAAGGTAATAACAAAGTGCATAATGAAATAAATATGTATAAGTAATGTTAATGTCTTGAAAGGGCTTGAGGAATATAATGACTGCTTTAGAATTCATATGTTCGTATTTATTTCATATATTGCAGTAAATATTTTCTGTTTATCAGGGAGATAATGATAATCATAGGATTCCTAAAACAGTTGAACTATTTTTATACACAATTGTTATAGACTAGTTGTGCCACTAGTAGTTGAAAGAGGTGACTCAGTCGTCACAACATTATCACCATCCTTCATCTCAAATGAGTTTATCAATATATTTGTGGCCATTATTACAATATTCACACACAAAATGACATTATTTGCTTTATTTGCATCTGTCTGGTCGTTCTCTTTGTTGATGTTTAAACGGGATCCTAATACAACACAAAGGCATCCTTGCAAAACCTTGGAAAACAAAAAATAAAAAGTAAATAAAAAAATAAAAAACAATATGAACATAAATGAAATGGATAGATTGAGCCATTTTTTATGTTTGCGATAAAAGTTCAAGTAGGTCAAGAATAGTTGATTATGAACCCAGGGACTAAAGTGGCACTTTGAATTCCGATGCGAAAAGTATGAAGCCTGAGGGCTTCAATTTGCTGATGGATCAACAATAACTTTAGATCCGTGGTTTATGTACTACTTCATTCACTTCTGAAGTGGAAAAACTAAAAATGGAATAATCAAATAAATACAGTACCTACACTCATACTCATAGCGGTACTCTAGTTTCAAAATGTCAACTTTGCTGACTTATCAAATTGATGACATCGAGCATCAGGTTGCTATGGCATTTGAGAAACAATGCCAATATTGCCTTTTAAACCCCGAAAGTGCCACTTTAGTGCCATAAATGAGGAATCGGAAGTAACATTCCATTTCCTGAAGAGCATAATGATGCAAATGTATGGAATAAATTCATTATTTCAGAAATGGGCGACATTTTAAAAAATTCCAAAAACACGTGAGGTTTCATTTTTGAAGCCTCATCTCATGATATCCATATGAGAGATGTTACGTCACCGGTGACGGAGTACCGACGTAATGAACGATTTTTTTAAATGAAAACAGGGGTCATGTGACACCTTGTTTGAAAGGTCTACTGATCGTGTCTATTCAACAGTCAACATTTTGCATAAGAAAATTGAAATTAAAATGGCTTATCATTTGATTAACTGAATCTTGCAGAGGTCTGCTACTGAGAATTGAACAACGAAGGGTCGTCTATTTAAAAAATAAATCAATTAATAAAGTTCTGAAGTCTAGTTTTTGGATTTTTTCGGACGTCGTCTTGTTTTGAAATGAATTTATTCCATACATTTGCATCATACTGTATATACAATATACAGGGTGGGTCACGGTGGATGGCCTATTAGAAGTATCTGGAGAACGAAAAGACAGAACTTTCTGAAAATTGGTATGCTTTGATAATTGAACATTCTCATCGATACAGTGTTGCCACTTCTATCAGAAACAACTAGCAACTTCGTTATTTCAAACGGAACACCCTGTATTTTATTGCATTTTTAGATTCTTCCTGAGGGTATTCAAAATCTAGATTTTTCAATTTTAGGATTTTTTTGTGTCGAAACTATTCATTATTGATCAAAACGGCGTACATGTCCCTATTTTAACTTTTGATTCACTATCTACTGGAATTTAATTGGAAAAAATACAGGGTGCTTCAAGATTCAGAATTCTGATCACCCTGTATCTGTTCCTATTAAATGTCAGTAGATAGTGGATCGGAAGTTAAGATAGGGACATGTAAACCGTTTTGATCGATAATGAATAGTTTCGACACGAAAAAATCCCAAAATTGAAAAATCTCGATTTTGAACACCCTATATCTCTGTAATCATTCCTGCTAGACCCCAAGTGTGCTGCTCTTTAGGAAGAATCTGAAAATTCAATAAAATACAGGGTGCTCCATTTAAAATAACGAAGTTGCTAGTTGTTTTTGATAGAAGTGGCAACACTGTATCGATGAAAACATTATAGACGAATAGAGAATGTTCAATTATCGAAGCATCCTAATTTTCAGAATGTTCTGTTCTTTCGTTCTCCAGATACTTCTAATACATCCACCGTGACCCACCCTGTAAATGATGTACCAGAATCACCTATACCCAAGCTACCATTTCCAAAATGATCATTATTTGTATTTCTTTGATGAAATCGTACCATGTTTTTAATTGATCGTGTTTTCACTATATATTTTCTTAAACTCTATTCGAATAATGCAACAATGGTTACAATCACAGTTTTAAATATCATTTGAGATAAAAGAACTAAGTATAAAAAAAAAATTAAAGCAGCACTGAAATGTAATGTAATTACAGAAATAAATGAAGTTTGAATTGGAATTTGAAATATCTAATAGTACTTAACTGTACACTGTCATGACCATTCTTTCCTATATTTGACCAACAGTTGAGCACACTTCATGTTGAGAATTTTTTATTTGTGATTGGTATTTATTCGCGCGCCCCTTTTGATCTAATTACAAATCATAACAAATCTTAGCTATACAGGGTTGGGCATAAGTATGAAGACACCAAATATCTGATAAATCCAGAAGTACTTTTTCCTAGCAGGTCTCTTCTATTTTTTTTAACTCTGGCCAAATTCTTTTTCTAATAGCTGTCATATTGCTGTTAATAATAAGGAGCAATCAGTAGTTTTGTTTCAATGGAAAACCCTGTATATAATTTCTTTTCTGGACTGCTGTTTTTCTAACTTACATTGATATTCTCTTTCTGTGACTCGTGTTTATACGTATATAAGATGAAATAATAATTGATAATTGACAGAAAACGTCTGATATTTAAGTTCTATTCGTTGTTACAAATAAACAGGAAAATACTCATAGTGAATGGAACTTTGATTGTTTAATAAAACACTAGGTATCCAGCGCGGCTTCGCACAGTGAGTTGTTGTTGTAGTCGTTCTGAGCTGTACGCGTATCTTCAGTACATATTTTTTTGTTATTTTTTTTGTGCTCACCTATATAGCTACCAATCTTTTCTATTTTTTTGTCGTTTTACATATTAAACATTTCAACCCAATCGGTCAAACCGTTTAGTAGTTGACGTACCGGCAGCAGTGCCACGACCTACCTCGTCTAATTTTGTTTTTAAATTATCCAGGAAACCATCGAAATACCCTTATAAAATTTCAGACCAATCGGTACGGAAGGATAATTCTAACTACCCGTTTTCCCTTAAGACTGAAGCATTTTCTCGTGGTAAAAAGTAGCCTATGTTCATCAGGGATAAATCGGCTTCTAATGGTGAAAGAATTTTTTCCAAATAGGTTCAGTAGTTTCGGAGCCTATTCAATATAAACAAATAAATAAACAAATAAATAAACAAATAAACAAACAAATAAACAAATAAACGAACAAATAAACAAACAAATAAACAAACAAATAAACAAACAAATAAACAAACAAATAAACAAACAAATAAACAAACAAATAAACAAACAAATAAACAAACAAATAAACAAACAAATAAACAAATAAACGAACAAATGAACAAACAAATAAACGAACAAATAAACAAACAAATAAACAAACAAATAAACAAACAAATAAACGAACAAATAAACAAACAAATAAACGAACAAATAAACAAACATATAAAGAAACAAATACATCTTTCCTCTTTATAATAAATATCACTAACAAAATATGCTCAAATATTTCCAACTATATTCAGGATCTCAAATCGTACCAGTAGAAAAAATACGTATTCGTGGATAACTATGGTCATTCAAACACTTGCTCTATTTCGAACAGTCCGGCTAGGCCTTCGTAGTCGCAAAATCGCGCGTGGTTTAAATACTTCAACATCCACTTCAATATACTATGCTCGGACAGCAAAGCTGCAATACTGGCTTGGCAATCCAATAGGATCACAACCAATTTGGTGTCCAAGTGCAGAAAGGCCTTGGAAAACCTGGCAAAATCAAAAAACGTCAGCCTCCTGTGGGTCCCAGGACACTCGGGGATACCCGGAAACGAGGAAGCAGACAGACTGGCCAAGATCGCTTCAGGATGGATGTCCTCCATAGAGGGACATCTGCAAAAGCAATTATTCCTCAAAATATGGCAGGACACATCAGGAATGAGACAATCGAAGCTCCACATAAAGGAACCTTCGAAGAGGCTCACAAAATATGTCTTATCTCTCATCAGGCGAGATATTAAGAAGGTAGTTGGGCTCCTAACTGCTGCTGAACTTCTCCGAGGAAGCCAACAAACCCAGCTTAATGTCGGAACTTTTGGGCACACAATGGGCCCGAATAAGGAGGCCTACTTGCAGGGGTGTTCACCCGCCAACCAGTGCTTCGAAGAAGAAGAAGAAGAAGAAGAAGAAGAAAATATACTATTTCCTTTGTAGATCTTCATTTGATAGTTAATGACCTTTCTTATTAATGAACCCCTTTAAGGAACAACGACCTTAGGAAAAATCAATTTTTTTTATTAATATTGAATGGCCCCCGTGGTTTCCAGATTTTCCCCATTGGGGATCTCAAACATTGGAAGAACTGCAACCACCAGTCATACCCATGCCAAACTTTATATCAATGTTGGAGGAAACAGCAGTCCGAAAAAAAATTATGTACAAGGTAGGTAATCCATTTACAAAACTGCTGATTGCTTCATATTTTTAACAATATGATAGTTCAGAAATCAACATGGCGATTGAGTAGAAGAGAAAATATAATTTTTGTACACTTTTATTTTCAGATACAGGGGGCGTGAATACCAAACCGAATCAACTAATTACGTGATCTCTTGACTTATATAATTCAAATTATAAAGGGTCTCTCTGGATATGAACAAACCCCTAATTCTACGTGAATTCCCTTTGGTTGTTCAATGACAAAAATCTTCAGAGATCGGTATGTATCTTTTCATTTGTGATATTTGTTGGAAGTGCTGGGTCGAATCCAAAGTTCATTTTAATGATTTCGCAAAATAAGGCCCCGGTTACGAAAGCCAATGAAATGTGGTTCAATAACCACGCCAACGTTTCAAGTCTCTTATCGTCGTAGATTCGGAAGATTCCGACTAGTATTGACAATATTGCTGCAGTTACCTATTGAGAAAAATTATAGTTATTCTGTTGAAAACATATAGTATATGAAGGTTAGGTCAGGTCAGGCTGGAGTTACGACATAATAGTTAATAATAATAATAATAATAATAATAGGAGTTGAGGAGACTGTGACATTTTTTTTTCATTGTTGTATCATATTAACGCTTTCTAGGCATAAAATCAACTACTGCCGGCGTACCATCGGGACAACGATTATCAGCAGCTAATCAATGCTATTAAAAAAAAGTGAATGACAAACATAATAAAGGCTGAAACATTACCAATAGTTCAATGACATATCAGTTAGAATATATAGTTGTAATATATTATTGAGTTTTTATTTCAATCACTATTGGTGCAACTAGTAATCCGGGAATAAGTTGACAGTTAAAAATCTCTGGCCCCTGGATTATACCTTCTTCACTGGAGGTTGCCCGGTGCGAGTGGACCTACCATTATAAAATAGGTGGCGCCCGAGTAAATCAGTTAATAACCCGAGTTGGGGCGCTAAACAACTTATCTCAGAGTAGATAACCTTACAAGTTTGGTGACCACGGACCTAATGATGTGAACAAAAAATGTCCCAGAACGACATACCTTAAATCCTACAGGGTGAACTCGAGACCTGAATAGGCAGATCGAAATCAACTTATCTCTATACAAAAATACACCGTTGAGCCGCGAGAGGGCACTGAAGAATAATTTTATTACCAAATTTCCTTGAATATTTAAAAATCCTTGTACGGTACTACTCTAAAATTCGTTGGGCAATTCACTATCGTAAATGTGTAAATATATAGAGAAATAGATATTTCGCATATTCTATGATGAAAATAATTTTTTTTATGACTGCAGTTTTTCATTCATTTCGGTACTTCTCCATACTTGTTTATAATGTCAGGATGACCTATCATGTTTTGCAAGTTTTTACTCGTTTGTTTAACATCATTGATAAGCTGCTGATAAGCGTTGTCCCGCGATCGAGGTGGCAGGAGTGGATTTTGTTGATTGGCTTTATCAAATAAGACATTGAAAAATGTCGGTGGCTCCCTGACTATAACTACTATTTAGACCGCTATACGTCATATCTCAGCAACCCGAAAATCTTGGATACATTGCTCGCCTGAAAACGCTTCTGCTCGATGCGCAAGAACATTCAAACTGTCGTTCATGACAGCGAGTTATGTTTCTTGGTATTCAGAAACATGAGTAAGAGTGATATATATAACAGGTCCTGACTGCGCATGATTCATGATCAGCAGTTCGATCTCGTTATTCGCGATTGAAAATAAGCGTACGCCACCTATCGGAGTTCTTGAAAGCTGTCAAAGCGGCATGTTTACCATGGTTTCATTGGTTCACATTTTTTCTTTGTTTGTGCTTATTGGTCATATCATCGAAACAAACCCCTCAGAAGTGTTCAAGTTATTGCCGTCAGGTGGGGCGACGTGTTATTTTCTATCGCGAATTGCGTGAGTAGCATATATCTTCTTTTTTATGGCATTAGAGGTCTAGATAGTAGTTTATATCAGAGATCCTTATAATAGATTTCACGTTTTTGTATGACGTTTTCATATTGTATTCACAGTACGGTCACTCTTACAAGCAGTGACAGTTGAACATAACTACAAATAATTGAATGACAAAGCAGGAATTGACAGTAGATAAACGTACATGCAAGGTAGTGACATTAATTTCTAAGGTGTGTCTATAATTGAGAACCAATTGGGAAAAAATATGAATGCGACTTTTTGTAGTTGCAAACTTTGAAAATACTGGCAAAAGTATTTTCTATTTTCTTGTTTCAATTCGTATTCGGAACCAATTTATAGTATCTTTTTTATCTTTCCCAGTTGATGAGACAAATGAAAGACTGAGTAATATGACTGAACATGTTGAGGAAGGAAGATACGAAAGTGCTTTATCTGAGCGAATACATCATAGCAAATACATCATAACGAAAACGTCAAATCCATTGAGGAACTCTAGGTTCGGTTCAAATGTATTCAATTTTCCTGAATTAAAATACTTATAATTTCAATAATTATTATCATCCTCAGCATAAGGAAATCTTCAAAGTTCAATGCTATTATCTTCTTTTATCTGAACTTCTATTAGGGGAATCCACTAGTTTCAGGGGTTGGCTAGCATAATCCAACCCAAACCCTGATATTATTATGTTTATGATTGAGATGAGAAAAATGAAGATGAGTATGACATCGTTCAGAATTATTGCCGCTCTATGATCTCTCTGCTTATTAATATTCAGTCCTCCTATAGCCACAAACAATATCGCCACTACAAGCTGAAAAAAATTAATGGTCTGTCATGAGATCGCCCTCAATATCAACGATATTTATTTATTAGTTCAACAACATCGGACACCATACGCTATGGCTTTGGATTTTTTCATTCTAAGTCATCCTGATGTATGCCGAAATATGTTCTATAGACTCTATAGATCGCCATTTAGTGACGAAACATCTGGTGCATCGAAAAACGCGTATTTAGCAATAGTTGGATCAAAACATGAAATGAGTAGATTGAGAACTGTTATCACAAACGCAAGAATCGTTGTGAAATGATTAAGAAAAACTGCTGTCGAATTATAATCTTCATGGTGCAATCTGCAATCTCTCCACAAATGTAGAGACAAACATAGAAGCCCTACCAAAACCTGTGTAAAATAAAACAGGTACCCTATTAAACTTGAAAGTTCAAGATATTTTATTATCAACCAACCTGGAGAAGTATGGATATGATTATGAGAGTGAGCATCAAAACGTAGAACTCATGCTTTTCACCAACTTGTAGAACATATTTCAGTTGTGAAGCATTTGCTGTTAATAGAGCTACGTCAAGAAGTCCTTGAGCTATAGTTTTCTTTGTGGCATACTTGTTAACATCCAATGTTTTCTGCAAAAAAAATGCACCGTATCACAAATATATCAAAAATACCATCATGCTTTTGATAATCCATCGATTATCAAAAGGTACCTATACTTTCAATCGACAATAACATAATAAGGATAGAGTAGAGTAGAGTAGAGATCTGTAGAAATACAATATGTTATTGAGTTTTTCAAGAGATTGCTGAATGCAAATTGACTAAAATACATTTCAAAAAAATATATCGTATTTATCAGAGCTGTACAGAATTGTTTCCTTTGTGTTGAAGTGTGGATATATCAAGATTCAAATCACACGTTTGAGAGAAATCTTTGTATCAGTTCAGTTTTAGTTAGGAATTAATTTTTTTTATTTCTTACCAGAAGTTCTATGCCCTCTCCATAAATTTCATTGATAACACCATCTGACATTTTGAATCGATGAAACCGTTCCGTTCTATTGTTTATGCAGACAACAATCACACTGTGAGAAAATATCAAGTCTTCTAACGCAGTATTTTGTCATTTATTTATTTTGTATAAATACATATATTTCATATATTTGATAAGGAGCGAAATAGATCGTTTATCTTTAGATAGAAATCAACACCTTACAACAATTTTTCAAAACTAATGGTTGAATACATGCATCACATCATTTCATCTTTAAGAATATTGAGCGGTACTATGACTTTGTTTATTATACGAATGTTATTTCTATAGGAAACACAATTATCTATCATACCTTGTGAATTAGAATATTCTCATGATAATAGATAACACTTCTATAATACAAATGACAAGTTCAGCAATAATGAACTTGGTGTATTGAATATCATACCGAAATTCAAAATTATAGATAGGTACCCATATTAGGTACCTGTATTAGCATAGTTGCGATCGACCTAGTTAACATATAGATAAAATATAATATTTTTGACCTTTTAAACGTTGCTTAAAAATCCAAGATTTTCTGGTGTTTCTCGAAAAAATGCTTGTAAAAATAATACTTCCTATATTTATTTATTTTTAGTAAAACTTTTCGTTTCTAGAGGTTAGGTACCTATATTCAGTACTGTGAATAAACTGTAATATATTTAACTTACTTTTATAATTTCTGAAATAATATTACCATCGCCGGTATCAACACCACCAGATTTCATTGTTTTACTAATATGTTTGGATTTTGCTTGATAAATTAATCCAAACTCGAATAGTTTTGAATTAAATATCTTGAGGCCAGAAACCTTCCTTTTGCATTCGTCTGATAATATTGATTATCTTATATCTTTGCTGATATTTATCTGGTTATCGTTAGATTACCATCACAAAAAAATATTTGACAATGATATTTGAATCAGACAAAAAATCATCTTTTGTGTTGGACACATATGCACTTGATAGTATGCCTGAAATAGTTATTTTTGTACCAAGGACAAAACACTGTCTATTATAGTCTAGTCTGCAAATTTAGGCATGAGGTGAGACAATAGACTGTTTTTCGCCGAGGCGACCTCAAACACTTATATTCCCATCACGCTCTTATTCACAATCTATCGGATTTCGTGAATAATTAATTTGACAACAGCAAATGACAGTTGTTGTCAATCACTCTCCGCGCAGACCAAGGTTGCCAGTTCACTTTTTATTCTATCAGTAAACACCTTATCAAAAATTCAGTAGATTTCAATAGATCTGTTGAAGATCTATTTTATGCTATACGAATTCCAAGAAATGATGATGAAATAAACCTATGACCTCATACCATTATGTACTTCTAGTAAACATAAAAGTAACATAATTATTTTCATTAAAATAGAAACAAACATTCTCATAAAAAAATAATTATTCCTAATTCTCAATTCAAAAATGCTCACAAATATCACGAAATACAGTTATATTAAAAGATTTAATTGAGTAGGTATATAAAAAACAGGAACGAATTGTTAAAAATGAACAACAAAAATACAAAACAAATAAATAGATATTCACGATACGAATACCAACCTACTAACAAACAGCAAATTATTTAATAAAAAATATTCATTATTCCTTGAACTGACGATTCATTAGGCATATGTAACAAGCAAGCGTTGCAAGGGTTGGGCGTATGATTGTCGTGAATCTATTGTATTCTCGGTTGTCACTCATTCGGCGAACTGTCAACTTTGACGCGTTGATTTAAATTCGGAAAAAAATCATCGGCATGAATTCGGATCAGGAAAGTTTAGATTCTGATATAGAAATTGCGGCAAATGCAGCAATCGAAACTTTAGTACCTGCTGTATTCATGATAAATTGGTTCTTATTTCTTTTTTTGAGTAAAAATAAAATTTGAAATTATATTTTTTCCACTTTACCGCACTAGTGCGGTAAACTATCTCATTACGATACTAAAATCAGTGTCGTAATGTTTCACATTATATATTGGTAATAGGTAAAAAATAAACGTAAGAAATAACAAACTGTTATAACAGAGTTATATAAAAAAATTAATTTGATTTGAAACAGATGAAGTATTGTCCTTTTTTGGTTTATACATATCATTAGTACCTATATGTACATTTATCACTTATTTTGTGAAATTAATTTGAACAGAGCGTGCCGTAATATCATGCAATTTGTAAGTGTATGTGATTAACTAAAGATTAATAATAATATAGGTTATTATAATAATAAATAAGTATCAAAATATTTTTCATAAGATTATGAAATGGTTCAGTAGATCAATATGCAAATCGGGAGATCTACTGAAAATTCAGTAGAACAGGCAACCCTGCAGCGGACGAAAAGTGTTTGCGGACGAAAAGTACTTTTGCCTTCGTTTTTTGGTTCGGAAATTAGAACGTAAAATGTGATTTTTTTGTAGATGTCGACGAAAAATAATGTTTTGGAAACTTCAATGAACAGTTACTATACTGAAAATCGAGTGTTCAACTATTGTCATGTGAATTGTCCCCTATACTATTTTACTGCCTAGTTGAACAAATAATCAAATAACAAGTTTTTCGATTGCGTTGAGTACATGCCACTTTATTTCCTTTGAATTTCCTTCACAAAAATCTTGTAGCTTCTTTGAGCGAAATACTCATACAGTAAATTGACCTGACATTGATTTGCTTGACTTATACCGGGTGTCAACGAATCTGTTTTAGACAAGTCATAACTTCTAGAATATCCGCTGTATCAAAATGAAATTCATTTTGGATGATTTTGGACATATTTCGCAAATTTTTCACTATCTAGTCACCTCCTCTCTCACCGAAAAAATGCTTCAGTTTTGAATTTTTCGCGCCTACTCAATTTTTTTAGAGACTTTTAATATTGCAACTAATCTATGAGGACCTCTGGTCAGAAAGTTACAATCTTGAAGATTTAGTGACTAATATTGGAATAAGACGAGTTGACAAAATTAAATTCTCGTGTTTAAGTAACTATTATTTTTCATAAGGGGACAATTTATTGACAAACAGTTTCCGAAAAAAGATCTCTGACGTATCTAACGATATAATAATTATTCATTCGTGATTGGATTGAAATATAAGAACGTGAATTGAATATTACTAAGGGAAATAACTTGATAATTATTTCAATAAAAACAAGTAGCTCAAAGTCGGTCGAGCTACTTTAAAATTACTTTGGACCACTTTGAGATATGGATGATTTTCATGACGATTATTTATTTTTTTCAGGTGTGTCATGATGCATAATATTTTTTAGTTATTCTCAACAAGTTTTATTTGGAAAGCAAAACACTCATTTAAGTCAAAGGAAGGAAGGAATGCTCGAAGTCATCTCCACAAATTTTAAAGGTGTTACACAATCATAAGGCACATGTTTCGGTCTTATAAGGAACCATTCTCAGCCCAATTGAAAGTTCCAGCCTAATGGGCTTATATCACAAAAAAAATTTATTTCATAATTCGATTGAACCCACCCAAACTAGCTCGCCACCGCAAACCGTTTCTAGCTGTGACCTCCCTACGTTTCATAAAAAATTATTGAAATCCCCGATTTTTCGGACCTCTGAAAACGAGGCGATGATGTGACGTCAAAACCCTAATACTGAAAGAAGACTATTCCAGACAGAGATGAATGATACATGATTTCTGACAGAGTGAATCAGCGCGAGATCACAGTTGAAAGCTGTTGCCTCAGTTCCGTCGGGCGTTTGGTATTTTCTTTCAACTATGGCGAGATGAGGTTTCTACGTCATAAGAGGGTCCGTTTTCAGAAGGTACTATTATTTATGTCAAAAAAAAAACATTCCAGTTAACTTGTCGATCAAATTATGTCGTCAATTATTATTTATGTGTAAAACGATCATTATAATCATGGTTTGAGTTAAAAGTTCTACTAAGGTGTACACGCCCATTGAAAGTTCTACAATACAAAAAGATTTATGTGAAAGAATTACATAATTTGATCTTGACTCACTTGGTGTTGAAAAAATGTGATGCTACTAGTTGTGGTATTGTTGTCAATGCCCCTAGTTGAAAAACCGACTTTATAAATGAAAATGCGAATTCTCAATAAATGAAGGGCCCTGTGTCCTGAGAGCTCATACCATTCATCTCATAGAAATTTCATATACAATTTTTCAACTCGAAGTAAAGTCAAGAACAAATCATGTAATTCTCTCACATCAATCTTTTTGTATTGTAGAACTTTCAATTAAGCTGAAGATGGTCTTTTATAAGACCGAAACATGTCCCTGAAAGTGTAAAATATGCAAAAACTCTCTCCTTCATAAATGAGAATCATTAACTAAAGTATAGACACAAACAAAAAAAAACTTCATCAGAGGGCTAACATAAGCCAGATTTCTTTGAGATTGTTCATTGAATGAGTATACAATAAGTAGGTATGTTTTTTTTGGGGGCTTAATAATATGTGGTACAAATAAAAAAAAATAATTGTACTAATTTCTTCATAAAATCGTTCTCTACCTGATTTCACAATACATCGTATATGATAAGGCTTTCACATTATAGTAAGCTATTTCTTCACATCACGTTGCATATTATAAGTTAGCTGATGATAATCATTTTTGCAAAACAATGAACCTATTTTTTTGCAATAAATGCATCAGTACAACGTATTTGTCCTCGTATTTGAAGAAGCATGAACTGTGACCATATCGTAACCAACACTTTCCATATTTATGTATACGGTGTGACTCATTTTTAATGGAAACACCCCCTTAAAATTTGAAGTTGTAAACCGATTTTAATAATTTATTTTGGAATGTCAAGTACTAGAAAGTCTACCTTGGGATAACATTTGAAATGATTATTCCAATTTTCACGGCATATAACGATATTTTTCCTTAGTCGAAAATGGAATGGAAGAGCAAGTTCTGATTACGTCACTCTCACTGGTGAAATGATCTGAACTTGAATTCTGCCGTTTGATTTACATTTATTTTGTATTTACCTATACCTGTCAATAAAATCCATTATTATTATTATTATTATTATTATTAAAATCAGAATTTTTCAATAGCGACTTTTTTATTTAAAAAACACATTTTGTTTTTCGGAAATGGAATGGGCTATCATTGTAGCAATTTTGTTCTTTGAGATACTTTCTTCAATATAGCTCTCCGCTACCGTACTACTCTTCCATTCTCCATGTAATTTTAGTGTTTCAAAGGAAGCACCACCTTGAACAAGAAGCCTAGACAATGTCCGGTGTAACCTTTAGGGTTTTCCAAATTAAGGCATTTCGCTATCCAATAGTATTTTTACCTACAGGTAAATCAATGCATTTATTATTTCTGTAGGTTAAAAAAAAATACGTTGTTTACATCATTTTGGTGGTAGTGCAATGTACTTTTCAACTAAGTTCAACGCTCCTATCTCGCTTTCTTCAACAATGGTGAAATTTTTTGAGATGTAGGTCTTGGTTTCTGGTACCTTGATCAGTAAAACGGCTCTTCTGTTTTCAATGTAATCAATTTTCATCTTGACCATTCGAAAAGTAATACTTGTCCACCTTCTAACACCTTTGATTTTTAGGAATGTATCCTCTTGATTTAACTTTCAGAAAGACCATCAGTTGACTGAATGCTGATATATTAATGTTTTCTTCAACGATCAATGTTGATTTAAGCTGTGAGTACTTATTTGATCCATAGAGTATTTGCACTCTATTTTTCAGATTGAAATAATGTAAAATAAATAAAAAATTTTAATATTCATCATGATGACCTAACCTCGCCAGTTCCTGGAAGTATGCCAT